TTATTCACAATTAGGGGCCGGAGTGTTGGAGCTATTTATTGTTTATATTCTTTATCCATTTGAATTTTGTTAGTTTGTTCTTAAATGTATATTTTTTGTATTATTTACAGAATTTATTTGTAAGTTAATAATTGTTGATTTCATTGATCTTTTGTTTTATTATTTTTTCTTATTGATATTTTTTTAAGTAAACAGGAAGTGATGCGGGTTGGCCCGCTTTCTATAAATGTAGGGGCCTGGTAAAGGACCAGCAGGCATTTGGGTTAGGGGCCTATGGTTTTTACCAGTGCAAGGAAGCAGAGAAAACAAAAGGAAGTTTGAACTCTGTAATTGTTCCTTTTTTTTTGTTTCGCAAAGATGTCAAAATAAATCATGAAGAACAAGTTACAAGTTTGGATCCTGAACCTTCTTTGCCTGCGTTGAAATACTTGACCCCAGTGTCTCAGTGGCTTATTGGAACTTTGTTGGATGTTTGGTTTGACAAACAATCGCCATTACACTTATATTATGTCTATGTATGTACGTATATGCCACGAGTAGTGGTGACGTACTTCCGTTTAAACTTTTGCCACATAGATTGATTCCGGGTCCCGCTGGCTCCTATTGTTTTTAACCGTAACTGCAAGAGCTGTACCATGAACAAGACGCAAAAGTAAAAATATTTGCGAGCTACTGGTACAACAACTGAGTTTTGTTGTGTGCCGTTGTGTCCAGTAATTAGCCGGTACCATCCAGAGCTTAGTTTTTTTGTTGTTTGCTGTTATCAAGGCGACAGCGGACCGTAGCCAAAACTTAAACACTACAGCTAGCACACGGTTTGTAGCTGCCTGCTATTTCAAACTTCAGGATATTGAAGATCCAGCGTCAGAAATGAGAAGACGGAGATTAAAAGGAAGCTGTACATGCTTCGTTCAGTGGAATAATTTGTTGGAGGAAAATAGTGCGGGAGGAAATCCACTGCTACGGGAACATGCTGAGAACAGAGGGAGCGATTCAGCACAAGGTAAGTCAATGTGTGTGTGTTGATGTATGCGTTTGTGTTTTATAGGATATGAAAGTATTTTTAGGCAACTTCTTAGTTTTTGTTTATATGACAATTATATACATTTAACATGCGTCAAAGTGCCCCTCCGATACCGAGCACGGTAATTTAAGAACAGCCGAGAGCAGCAATACTTCAGCCTGAACATCGAGCAACACGATCCAAACCACAAAGGTAGCCGGTCAAATTAAAGTCCAAAACCTTCGCTTTACAGCCGTATAAGTGTCACCGATCTACATGAAAAATCTCCAGAGCAAATGGTACAAATAGTAAAGAATCACATATTTTCTGACGGCAAAGAAATATGACATCTACCTT